CAAATCAAGCCCCCTCAAACTTTAAGAAGCAAGCTCACACTCCTAATAAGAAGTTCTCTGGGAAGTGTAACCACTGCGACAAGATGGGACATCGTGCTACATACTGTCGCAGTAAGGCCAAGGGTGTTAACCAAGCCAACCTAACTCAAGCTGATATATGCGCAGTTGTAACAGAAGCTAACATGGTTGAAGAAACCCCAAGGGCATGGTGGTACGATACTGGAGCTACCACACACATCTGCATTGATAGAGATATGTTCAACACCTATCAAAAGAGCAAAACTGATGAGCATCTGTTGATGGGAAACGTGTCCCACTCCAAGATTGAAGGTACCGTAAAGGTGGTGCTGAAGATGACATCGGGAATGGAGATCACGCTCTCAAACATGAAGCATGTCCCAGACATGGGGAAGAATCTGATCTCTGGCACTCTGCTGAGCAAGCATGGATTTGCAATCAGTTTCGAATCTGACCAGCTGATTCTTAGGAAGAATGGTGTTTTCATTGGAAAATGATTTGTTAAGGAAGGATTGGTCAAAATGTGTGTAATGACCATCCTCAATAAAAACGATGTACATGTTTCCAAAAATGATAAGAACAAGAAACCAATTGCTTATTTGGTTGAGTCTTCTAATATTTGGCATGAACATGTGAATTATAAGTCTATAAAGGCTGATGAATTCGAATTTAATCCCCAAATGCAAAATTAGCAAAGACAAGTGTGAAGTTTGTGTACAATCAAAACTCACAAAAACACCATCTCCTCATGTTGAAAGAACAACCAAACCTCTTTGCTTAATCCACACTGGTCTGTGCGATTTAAAGTATATACAAACAAGGGGTGGTAAGAAGTATTTCGTGACTTTCATTGATGATTGCACAAGATATTGTTACGTCTACTTACTGCAAAGTAAAGACGAAGTATTGGACAAATTCAAAGAGTACAAGCTCGAAGTTAAAAACCAACTGGGAAAAACCATTAAGATGGTTAGAAATGATAGAGGAAGCGATTATGATGGACCTTTCAACGCTTTATGTCAAGAAAAAGGCATCATACATCAAACAACCGCTCCATACTCACCAGAATCTAACAGAGTTGCAGAGAGAAAGAATCGCACTCTGAAAGAGATGATGAATGCAATGTTGTAGGAATCTGGGACACCCCAGAATCTGTGGGGGGGGGAAGCGCTGCTCACCAACTACAGTCCTCAACAAAATTCCACACAAGATAACTGGCAAACGCCATATGAACTTTGGAAAGGAACTGTACCTTCGTACAAATACCTCAAAGTGTGGGGGTGCTTAGCAAAAGTCGATGTGCCACCTCCTAAGAAGCTGATAATTGGGCCTAAAATGGTTGATTGCATCTTCATCGGATATGCACATAATAGCAGTGCTTATCGATTCCTAGTACATAAGTCAGATGTACCAGACATCCAGGTCAACACGATAATGGAATCTAGGAATGTGTCTTTCTTTGAAAACATATTTCCATGCAAAGAGAAACGAAGTAAGAAACGCACTCATGATGAAAGAGACGCTAGCATCTCTGTAAATGAGGAGAGCACTTCTGGAATTTCAGTTGATTAAGCAGAAGATGAAGAAGATGAACCTAGACGGAGCAAAAGAGCACGCAAGGAAAAATCTTTTGGTGATGATTTCTTAATGGTATTTCTCACAGCGAATGAGCCGAGATCATATACATAAGCCATGTCTACACCTGATGCATCTTTCTGGAAAGAAGCAGTTAGTGAAATTGATTCTATAATGCAGAATCATAATTATGAGATCACTGATCTACCTCAAGGTTTCAAAGCACTAGGGTGTAGATGGGTATTCAAAACCAAGTGAAAACTGATGGTTCAATTGAGAAGTACAAGGCCAGACTTGTGGTTCAAGGATTCAGACAAAAGGAAGGTCTAGATTTCTTCGATACCTATTATGCAGTAACGAGAATAACTTCAATAAGAATTCTGATAGGAGTTGCAGCCCTAAGAGGACTCAAAATCCATCAGATGGATGTAAAAACGGCCTTTCTAAATGGTGATCTATAAGAGGAGATTTACATGAAGCAACCCGAAGGATTTGTGGTCCTGGGTCAAGAACACAAAATTTATAGACTTGTGAAGTCATTGTATGGTCTGAAACAAGCTCCGAAGCAATGGCATGAAAAGTTTGACAACGTAATGATGTCAAATGGTTTCAGCATAAATGAGTGTGATAAGTGTATCTACATCAAAAGTACTCCTCACAGGTATATCTTGCTGTGTTTATACGTTGATGACATGCTCATCATGAGAAGTAACAATGATATCATCCAACAAACCAAGACAATGGTTAGTGGTCAGTTTGACATGAAAGACATGGGTCTTGCGGATGTTATCCTTGGCATAAAGATTACACGCACCTCTGAAGGCATCACTCTGTCTCAAGGTCATTATGCTGAAAAGATTCTTGAGAGGTTCAAGGCTTACTCAAATGGAACTGTGAAGACTCTCGTGGATTCGCAACTACACTTGACAAAGAACTCCGGTGAAGCTGTTTCACAAGTGGAATATGCAAGGGTCATTGGCAGTCTACTGTACTTAACCAATTGTACATAAGTAGACCTTGCGCATGCTGTCAACGTGTTAAGTCGTTACACAAGTAATCCAGGTCATACCCACTGGAAAGCCATAACAACGGTATTAAATTGTTTGCAATACACCAAGAGTTATGGGCTGCACTACGGTAAAGAACCCGCATCTTTGGAAGGATACAATGATGCAAACTGGATATCAGACTCAAAGAATTCGAAATCCACAAGTGGATACATCTTTACTCTAGGAGGTGCAGCAGTATCTTGGAAATCTTCGAAACAAACTCTGTTAGCAAGATCCACAATGGAATCTGAGTTCATAGCGCTAGACAAAGCAGCAGAGGAAGCTGAATGGCTATAGAATTTCCTTGAAGACATCCCCATGTGGGAGAAACCAGTGCCAGCATTACGAGTGCATTGTGATAGTCAATCAGCAATAGCTCGGGCATTAAGTAACCTATACAATGGTAAGTCTCGTCACATCAAAAGGCGACATAATACCATTAGCCATTTGATCTCAACGGGTGTAATCTCGGTCGATTACATCAAGTCAGCTGACAACCTTGCGATCCGTTCACTAAAGGTTTAAATCGAGATCAAATTTTGAAATCATCAAATGGAATGGGTTTATTGCCTCTGACTAAAGAGGATGTTTGATGGAAACCCCACTTATGTGATTGGAGATCCCAAGATCTAATCTCAAAGGGACAACCAAGTCGAACAGAGTCTGATGAAAGCACTGAAAGACATAACGTTTGTGCCCATCTCCCAAAAATAATGTACAGTGCTCCCTGTAAGTATTAAAGGATAAGTTTTATACTTTTAATGATTTTGAGTAGCCTTCATAATATAGAGTATAACAGGATACTTGTGTATATGTCAGGAGCTCAAAAAAATCACCTAGTGAGTGTGAAATGCGGCCGTTTCTAGGAGGATGAAGACAAGGCTATATCTCCAAGTTCACTCATGACAACCAGGCAAGTTCACGGCCACAATGAACACAATAGAGAACTTAGTTCTACGAGAAGAGGAGACTGGGTTGTACCTGTTGTCTAAGTTTACATAAAAATTCGGGCAGTTCAAGACATCATGTTCACCTCCTGGCCAAGTAAACTTGATAGATATCAACAATGAATAGTTCAAGGCTGAAATATGCTACTATATCATACACAGTTAATTTTCAGCTATACTCTCGAAAAGTCCTAGAGTCAAGTCCTAGTGTGTCTGCATAGTCTTTCAAGTTAGTAGAGTCTGCATATGTTTTAGAGTAATTTCTATTCATGTGGGGGATTGTTGGAACTTAAATTTTGGCAATTATGGATTCTTTGAAATCTTTGTAATGAGCACAAATAGACAGTGTAATTACTTGTCATCGAAGTAAATTTGAATAAGAAATCAATGGTCAAAATGGACATGTAATCAAGACTAAAAGTCAAGATGTGCATTTGTCACACATTGGAAGTATGATGGCTATTATGCAAAACCACAAAAGAATTTCTTTTTGGAATAAATCTTTATTGACTTATTTAATTAAATTGTCAATATTCCATTTATAATTTTTGTATAATATCGATAAATCTTTATAGATTGAGTCGAATTATTTTATGAAATATTTCCACTTCTCTTATTCTTGTCAAATAAGGAATAAAGATTTTTGGAATATTTCTGTTTCCTCTGTTAAACAAGGTATAAAGGTTTTCGGAATATTTCTGTTTTTTCTTAAGCTTGTTGAACAAAGAACAAAGATATTCGAAATATTTCCGTTTATCTTTCGTGAGTAAAAAGGCAAATGCCTTGCACCACAAGCCTCTCTTCCACTATAAATAAGGACCTCTCTCATTCATTATTCTTCATCCAGAAAAGCAATAACCTTTCAAGCACAAATCCAGCAAATCTCTCTCGTCTCTATAGTCTTAGGTGAGTCTCGAGAGTATAGCGTAGATTTTTAAGTTCGCAGATTCTATAGTCGGGTGCTGCGATTTTAGTCTCAACATGGTTGTATCCTGGAATTCTGAATCTCTTCAAACCGCCACACTGCGGGAGATTTAAAAAATTAAGGAAAGAGATCATATCTCGACTCCGTGTATCGTCTTTCCTTAAAGATTTTATTAAAACGTTTTATAAATTATTATCGTTTATTATTGATTTCAATCGTTTTATATTTATAATTTTCAATCTGGATTTTCGCAGTCCTACATTTCTATCGTAGCATTAGTGGCGATTCCTAATCAAGAGCGGTTGCTGCCAATAAAAAATAGTTTTAGATCACCAAAAGAGGTTCAATTGTCCCACCAGAATCTACTTCCCATTTTCTACTTTCATCTTCGATAGTTACGAATATTAATATTATATGTTAGTTTGATTATTTGTAAAAACATCGTTTGTAAATTTAATCACACATTGAGCTGGTTTGGTTCAGTTCAAATGTTCCCCAAAACGTCTAACAAAAACAGCAGATTGCAAATGAAAAGGCTAAGAAGAAGATAAGATTTTGTGCCTCTCCAAGTTTCCCAAATGTCATCCAGTAGTACCACACATGCCACATATATTTCCAACTAAATATATATGAAAAAATATTATATACCATATAAAACAGTGAATGAATTAAAAAAAAAAAAAACGTATTGTTGTTGGAAATGGCAGCCAAAATCCACATTTGTTCTCATATCTCTTCCTCCTTTAGCCACAAAGCCAACGATTCCCCATCTTCATCATCTTCCTCATACTCATCGTTGCTTGCCTTGCCTAATTTCATCTGTCCACCATCTTCCTCAGGGTTTACACAATTCAAGCTTCATGCCAAATTAGGTACTCTTTTATCTTTTGAATTTAAATTTTCCCATATAGGTTTTTGATTTGTAGATATTTTTTTGTTGTTGCTAATCTCTGGTCTTGCTCAAAGGTGGAGGAGATGGAGAAGTGAAGCCTAAAGAAAAGAAGAAGTTCATAACCAAAGAGGAAGAACCAGAACAGTTAGTTTTACTTATCTTCCATTTTCACCTTTCAATTTCCTATCACGAAATTGCCAAATTATAGAGAATAACAATAAATAAATAAATTTGTGGAATGAAAAATTGTAATGACGAAAGCAAGAAAGTATTGTAATTTTATTTAAAATAAATAAATTAATAAATAATCCATGGAATGTAATGACGAAAGCAAGAAAAATGTAATTTAATTTAAAAACTGCTGAATTGTTGAATATTTTTCATTTTTCTCTTTATCATTAGTTTTGCAGAATCACATTTTTTAAAAAGATGAAAATAATTTATTTTATTTTTTTTGTCATCCACACAACTAAAATTTGATTGAAACGCGGTTTTGCAAAAAGAAAGTGATTTGTGATAACATGGAGAATGGCAGAATTTTTCTATAGATTACAAATCAAATCCTATTTTTAGTATCTATTGCGGAGCCAATTTGCATACACTAATGGTGTTTTTGCAATTGGTCTAAATAGTGTTAGTGATCCATATTCCAACCGGAAATCATAACATGTTTAATCAATCTTATATGGCTTTGTTATTTTGTCAATAGAACTGAAACTCTTGCATGCACAACACTTCAGGTGATTAACATTAGTGATTGAAGAAATGGTTATGGATGGGATTTGCAGATATTGGCAAAGCGCTGGAGAAAGAGAAGGGGAGAATCCGATGAAAACGCCTCTCCCTTACATTATCATCTTCGGTATGTCAACTCCATTCGTCATCTTAGCCATTGCTTTCGCAAATGGCTGGATCAAAATTCCCATTCGCTGAGCCTATAAATCTTTTTTTGTTTGTTTTGGCCTCTTCTTCTTCCCTTGTTTAAGAGTCTCAGTACGTACATGAAATGAGACTTAAACAACATATTGTTCCGCTGTCAAAGAAAGTAAAAAAACAGTATACTTATATATTATATGGTGCTCTGCTGCATCTTTCACAGGGACCGTTACAACTAGTACTAGGTGAGTATATCAGAAAACGTTGTTTGTTTCTTTTCTTATAATTTATCGTCAATTTATGTATGCTACATGATAGAAGTATGACCGGTCCTTATATATTATAAGTTGTTTATAAAACAAAGGGGTGCTCTTTAGATTTGTTGCGAAGAAAAGATAGATTCGTTGGACTGATTCGTAGGTCGGAAACTCGAAGTAAAAAGTGGCAAAAAAGTATCGAGAAACGGTATTGTAAAAAGGGTTTTTTACTTGATTAAATACAGTTTTACATTCAGTTAAAAGATTGATCAGTTTTAAAGCTGCTGGTGCCGTATTTTTCAGCGACTCTCCACCATTCAAGTAAATAATAGATAGTGAGTGTGATAGGAGAAACAAATGGATTTGATTCATTTGAACTATATCCACTACATATTATTTGAGAAGTAATATTATTAAAAATAGCTGATTTGTCAATATTACAGCCAAAGTTAGTGTTTTTAATTGATGACATGTAAATGTGACATGTCAAACTTTATAATATAAATAAAATATTTTGATTGCTTGAATTAAAATTATAAAAATTATGGAATTAAAACATAAATACACTAGATTATATTTATAACACTAAAATTAACAAATTTAAATTAACAAAAAATAATAATTATTATAATTTTAATTTTTTACATATATTCATAATTCAATAAAATATAATTACTAATTTTTCAACAATATATATATATATATTATAATTTCAGATAAAAACGAAAAAAATAATACTAAATTATCTAATAGGATAGTAAAAATTTTATATATTAATAATACTTAAAGTATAATATATTTTTATTTCAGAAATTTATTAATTTACAAAATATAGTAATAATATCTAAACAAGTTTAAATAAACAAATTATTAAATAATATAATTTAAATAAAATACAATCATGATAAAAATACTTTAAAGAATAAAATGTTAATAATAATAAAAAATAATTCACTTTTTTTTTTAAAACATAATTTAAAATAGTTTTTCTTTTTAAACCAATATTTACTAAATGAATAGAATATATACTAATTATTATTTTATAATATTAATAGGACCATATATTTTTTTATAACTTTTATCATCTTTTTATTGTTGTTTTCTAAAATGTACATAACTTATGTTACCATCTCATCTTATCTCTTGTCATATTTTAAATAAAAATAAAATTTTATATGATATTTATATATATATATAAATTTATTTTCATGGTATATCAAAAATTTGAGATCATAAATGAAATGATAAAAAATCGAACGAAAGAATAAATTAAAATAAAATGAAACAAATGTGAATAAGTAATAAAAATAGAAGTATATAAAAATAAATCTCTCGCACTTTGTTTTACAAAGTCACTTAAAACGTTTTAACACGTAAGAGCCATATTTTAACTTTTTTTACAAATATACGTACATACATAAATATTAATTGTGCATTAGTTGAAGTCACATGCGAACTTTTTCGTGCATATATTTTGTTAAGCTTGATTACAGTCTAATTTTTATTTAAATTATCATCCAATTTATATTTCTTAAAAAATATTTATCTATTCTAAATGTAGTGAAATGGTTGGTATTCCCGCATATGCGTGCTAACCATATATCCGCTCTTAGGAATAAGTAAAAATAGTAAAAACTATTTCAGTTTAATTTGCAATAAATCAAGAAAAATTACATACTTAAAATACACTAGATGGTTGGCCCGCACATATGTGCGGGTATAATTTTTTTGATATACGTAGTTAATTATAATATTTAAATTCTAAACATTTTTATGTTTGTATATATATATATATATTGTTTTAATATTTCACAAACTTCTTTCTGAAATAAATGTATTTTAAAAAAAATTATTTTTATAATGCTTGTAATAGTATATAATCACAACTATAAAAGTTATGTTAAATAATAATTAAATTTTTATAATATTAATATGCTTTATTTCTCCTTACACAATTTACAATATGCTTTTTTGCGTCTTACATAATATGAGTTTGTAAATACATATATAATATATTTTAAGTATATATTTTTCTTGATTTATTGCAAATTAAACTGAAATAATTTTTACCATTTTTACTTATTTTTAAGAGCGGATAGATGGTTGGCACGCATGTGCGGGCATACCAATCACTTTACTACACTTAGAATAATAAATATTTTTTTAAAAATATAAATTGGATAATAATTAAAATAAAAATTAGATTATAATCAATCTTAACAAAATAAATGCACAAAAAAGTTCGCATGTGACTTCAACTAATGTACAACTAATATTTATATATGTACGCGTATTTGTAAAAAAATTGATATATAGCTCTTACGTGTTAAAATTTTTTTAAGTGACTATGTAAAACAAAGGGCGAGAGATTTATTTTTATATACTTCTATTTTTATCTCTTATTCATACTGTTTCATCTTATTATAATTTATTCTTTCGTTCGGTTATTTTTCAATTCATTTATGATCTCAAAATTTTGATATACAATGAAAATAAAATTATGTATATATATATTAATATGATATAAAATTTTATTTTTATTTAAAATATGATAAGAGATAAGATGAGATGGTAACATAAGTTATGCACATTTTAGAAAACAACAATAAAAAGATGATAAAAGTTATAGAAAAATATATGGTCCTATTAATATTATAAAATAATAATTAGTTTATATTTTATTCATTTAGTAAATATTGGTTTGAAAATATTTTTTTTTTAAATTACGTTTTTTAAAAAAGTTAATAAAAGTTATTTATTTTTATTATTTTTAGCATTTTATTCTTTAAATTATTTTATCATGATTGTATTTTATTTAAAATTATATTCTTTAAAAAAATTTAGATTTAATTAATAACTTTCCGAAATAAAAATATATCATACTTAAAGTATTATTAATAAATAGAATTTTTACTATTCTATTGAATAATTTAATATTATTTTTTTATTTTTATATAAAATTATAATATATATATATATTGTAGAAAAAATTTCGTAATTATTTTTATGAAATTATGAATATTTGTAAAAAATTAAAATTATAATAGCTTTTATTATCTGTTAATTTAAATTTGTTAATTTTAATGTTATAAATATAATTTATTTTATTTATGTTTTAATTCAACAATTTATATAATTTCAATTCAACCAATCAAAACATTTCGTTTATTTTAGGAAGTTTGACATGTCACATTTACATGTCATCAATTAAAAACACTAACTTTGATTGTAGTGTTGACAAGTAAGCAATTTTCAATAATGTTACTTCTCAAATAATATGTAGTGGATTATATGTGTATTTGAAAATTCATATTATGTAAGACGCAAAAAAGCATATTGTATACTGTGCAAGGAAAAATAAAGCATATTATAGAAATATTAAAAAAATATTATAAGAATTTAATTATTATTTAATATAACTTTTATATTTGTGATTATATATTATTACAAACATTATAAAAATAAAAAGTTTTAAACTATATTGGTTTCAGAAAGAAGTTTGTGAAATATTAAAACAATATATATATATATATACAAACATACTAATGTTTGAGAAAACTAACCAATACTTAAATATTATAATTAATTATGTATATCAAAAAAATTATCGGGCCAACCACTTGGTATATTAATATTATGCAAACTAAACTAATGGATTTGGACCCATTAATAGAGGGTTTAGTGGTTAAATATGTATAGCCATTGTTCACGAATACTTCGTCTTAATTATGTGGTCAGCTAGCTTTACCATTTTCCTGACAGTTCATAACAATTTTCGCACGTGTAGTTAGTGCTTATATTTGTAGTGAATTTGCCAGGAATTACTCTATCTCTAATCTGTGGCCTAGCCAATGACTTATACCAGAAGGATTCTTACCTCATACGATGTCGTACACTGACAAGTGACAAATTCTGCAACTTCTTTAGAGAGAGACAATAGCAATTGTTAAAATAGCGAAAATGGAGAAGAAGAAATTTGAGAATTTCTGTGAATTTCATTGAACAAAAGAATGGTACATTTATATAGCAAAGCTAAAGAATCTAAAACTTAAATGCAAACATACTGATTTAAATAATTCCATGAACGTTGTGATCATCATGATTGATTATGATGATTGTTGTGATTGACAGTCTCTACTCTCTAATAGTATATAGCAATGATCCATAATTATCAATATAACTATCGTGGTTATTTCATGCCTCAACTTATATACGTAATAAACAAACAAACTTACAAAGATTGCAACATTAATTGTCCTTGCTAAAGTCATATTTGCTACCTCATCAGAATTATGTGGTATGAGTTGTCTTCTTTCTTCAACATCCTATTTTGTAAAGTTTTTAGTTGCAGATGCTTCAGGTTGTGTTTGGTGTCTTGGTCTTGGAGTGTTGTTGAGCATGAATCTTCAGACTCATGATTTTCTTAAAGTGGTACAAGATTTTGTAAAGTCTTTAGTCCTTATTTGTATATGCTTCAGGTTGGGTTTGGTGTCTTGATCTTAGGCACTAATCCTTCTTCTTGGTAAGCAACTTTGTAGTATCAAGGGGACTGTCCATTTTTCACTTTAGTTGCAGATGCTTTAGGCTGTGTTTGATGCTCTACATGACCAAATCCAAGTCGATTTTGCAATAACTGATCTTGAAACTATTTAACTTCAGAAAATGGTATTGGCAATGAGAGGAATTATAACTTTTGCTCCAAAAAAGAGAATTATAATTTGCATGTTGTTTTTAGACTTCTGAAGCTACTCGACAACAAAATAGTTGCACGTTGATCATATCATCGTTCTCTCTATGGCTCATTTTCAACAAAAATAGATTACTGCTCACAATATTCGTTGAGTATTAAGCAGTAGACTAATGCACTTTTATGGACTATGATTTTCCAAATGTACCAGATTTTGAGAAATAGACAATTCGGTACTACATAATGTGTGGTCTAGATAATAAGATGAAACCATTATTGAAACCAGCATTGAAACCAACAATTACCCCTATTATCCTCCCCCAATAATTTAAAGAAAAAGCATTATCACTCATCTTTATATCATTTAAATATTATTATTAGCTGGATGGTTGAATATATTAAGTATTATTATTGTGTTGTTCATCAATTATGAAAGTCTGATTTTAATGCCCTGGTTAAACTATTATTTTGTAAAAAGAATTTTAGACTCCTTAATTTAGATAATTCTATATTCAAAGTAAAAATAACTGGTTCTGGTTGTTTTAAAACCCTTTTAATATTAATAAGATGACAAAAGGGTAAAATGCAACTTGCATTATCTATTTTTAAATTGTCACATTAAAACATTTTTATAAAGAGATATATGCGCACTCCTCATTACGGTGCACGATAGCATGGATCTCTCGTAGAGCACTATTAGCAAATTAGCACCGTTTACTTTCACTGGAATATTTACTTAACCAAAAAAAAAAAATTCCCCAATTTTTATTTGTCGTTTATTTTTCCGAAATTCTCGATCGCCGATCGACGGCAAATCTCGAGCTTTAATCCCGGCGATTCATTCCGGGGTGACGTGAATCGCCGATTACCCAACAACTCTCACTGAGCCATAAACCCTAAGTCTACTGTAGTACACCCTCCTCAATACCAAAATCCGCTTAGGATTCGCGTTTTGTTACCTCGATTTTGTTCTTGATCTGCTCGAACTCTATGAGAAGAACTTGCAGCGATCTATTTAAAGGCCTTGTTTCTAATTTCCCCCCAAATATCAGTAAGATCTCTGTTTTTTTTCATTTCCTGAAATTTTGGTTTTGTTTTCGTTCACTGCTGTTATCTGTGGGTTTCTAATTTGAGAAATTAGCAAATCTCGTGTCGGGGTTTTAAAAGATAAATCCTTTTGAAAAGAGTTTATAGTGATTCATTGAAGAAGTTAGTAGCTTAAATCTGGCGCTTGGATTCTGGAAATGTGTCCAAAATGGAGAGAAAATAAAGCTACTTTTGACTTCCACATACTTTAATTTTCCAAATCTATTTGAGTAATTGTGTGATTCTCTCATATGTTTTAGTGTTAGTAAGATGTAAAGTTGCAATTTTCGTTCAAAGTCGGAACCTGAGATTCTGGATCTAGTACGTTAGTAAGTGCGGTTTTGTTTAGGGGGTTTTGTCTGAAATGTTGTTTCTGTGAGCTCTTTGGTCAGGTATTGGTTTATATTGCAGTTTCTCCAAAAGAATAATGCTATTCTCATGAATATTTGCAGATAATGATGGCCTTGTGATCCTTGGAAATGGAATGTCTTTCGGGTTTTAGCTTGCAAGAACGGTCTTAATTTCCTATTTTATTCATTGGCCTGAGTTTCTATCTACATGGAAGCATACAGAGAGGAAGCTCTCAGAGTGAAACAAATCGCTGAGAGAAGATTCGCGGAGAAAGATTTCACTGGCGCGAGGAGCTACGCCTTGAAAGCTAGGTCTTTGTTTCCGGATTTGGAATGTTTGTCTCAGATGGTTGCGACGTTTGAAGTTTACTTAGCTTCTCAGAGTAGAACCGGTGGTCAAATCGATTATTACGCGGTACTCGGGCTAAAGCCATCGGCAGGGAAAAGAGAAGTGAAGAAACAGTACAAGAAGATGGCTGTATTGCTCCATCCTGACAAGAACAAATGTATCGGAGCTGATGGTGCTTTCCATCTCATATCTGAAGCTTGGAACTTCTTGTCCAATGAGTTCAATAAAAGCACTTTTTATTACAAAAGAAAGAAGCATATCGACTCTACGGTGGTTCAGAAGCATAGCACAGAGTACATGTCGGCGACTGGTACCGGAACCACAGCAGCTTTTGATCGGTTTCCGCAGCCATCATCAGAAAGACTCGACACATTTTGGACTGTCTGCACATCTTGCAAAGTTCAGTACGAATATTTGAGGAAGTATGTGAATAAGAGGCTTTCGTGTAAGAACTGTCGCGGAGCATTCATAGCTGTAGAAACCGGTCCTGCTCCTGTTAGTGCACCGTTTCATTACACGCCTCCTCCTCCTCCTCCTCCTCCTCCGAGTAATGGCTATAGCGCTCATGGTTATGATGCTGTTGCGCGTATGCCTACGAATTCCACTTATTTCTTAGGCCATTATCCGGGACAAGGACATGGATATGAATATGCTACAAACGGTTCATATGAATGGAGCTCATCATACCCTGCAACAACATCCCCGGGGAATCTAGATTTGAAGCGTGTTTCCTCTGTGTCTAATGGGTATCCTTATAAGCACAGCAGCTCGGGGATAAACAAAGCCAAAGACGGTTCTAATGGGACTTGCTCGATGAAAAGCATACCGGGCGGTCTGATACACGCTAACCCGCCGAGCGTGTCTGCTCCCGGGGCTGCGACCAAGGTCAGCAGACCCGTGAAGAAAAGCAGAGTTTTTCTTGAATCGTCTGTTCACGGATTTGTAGAGAACCCTCTGAGATCTTCTGCTTCGGTATCAAAGATAACGAATGCGGATGCCAACAACATGGAGATGGATTACAAACTTCATGGCTCGAGTAGGCGGTGGTCTACTGCATCAGTGTTGGATACACGGAAGCCGTTAATTCAAAAGGCGAGAGCAGAGATAAAGCGGAGACTTGAGATCATGAGATTGGCTTCAGAGGCAGCAGCAGATGACATAACACCTCTTGATGAAAAAACTGTTATCTCCTGTAAGCTGGGAGATGTCACGGGGCGCAAAACCAGCGGGCCGATAACAGTCCCGGACTCCGATTTTCACGATTTCGGCAAGAACAGATCAGAGGAGAGCTTTGAGCCGAGGCAAATATGGGCGATCTATGATGAAGATGATGGTATGCCACGTCTGTATTGTGTAGTTAGGGAAGTGCTCTCTGTTCAACCTTTTAAGATTGACATAGCCTACTTAAGCTCGAAAACCGACATCGAGTTTGGATCGATGAAATGGGTACAATACGGGTTTACAAAGTCATGTGGACATTTCAGGATAAGAAACTCTGACATAGTTGAACAAGTTAACATCTTTTCGCATCTTTTGAGAGGCAAGAAGACAGGAAGAGGTGGTTGTGTTAGAATATTTCCCAAAACAGGGGAGATTTGGGCTGTCTACAAGAACTGGTCACTAAACTGGAACGAATCAACTCCTGCCGAAGTGAGGCATCAATATGAAATGGTTGAGATTCTTGATGAGTATACTGAACAGTATGGTGTTTGCATTGTGCCTCTTGTTAAACTTGAGGGATACAAGACTGTGTATCATAGGAGCACGAGGGAGGAGGACGGTAAGAGATGGATACCGAGGAGCGAGATGTTGCGGTTTTCGCATCAAGTGCCTTCTTGGATTCTTAAAGATGCAACTAGGGGCTTCCCCGGAAACTGTTGGGACTTAGATCCTGCAGCAATCCCCGAGGAGCTGCTTCACATCGTAGCAGGAACCGATTGAGATTTCAATAAAGAAAGGTTTCATGTTGAGTCTGTATCAGCAAAGATTGTGGAGTTTTATGAGGGACTGTTGTTGTTAACACGCAAATCATTCTGTTAGGTCACTAAAGCTGTTGTATTAGGCAATGTTTCAACGAGTAAGCAAAGCATAATTTGACTTTTGCTTGCTCTGTTTTTCTTTTTTATTTTTACCGATTCTCTGTATTTGTTTCTTTGTTGACCGTAGTGATGACAGAATATTTACAGTAGAGTTATAAATGTAGCAATTATCTTTCCGTTATGTACCACTTTTTATTTAGTTATTGAATTTTAGTGAAACATCGTCATCACACAGGTGGAGTCCATTCTAGAACTATTAAACATGTATCTATAATCTATGTATACAATTTTATAATCCTCAATTTTTATATTTTCAAGAAATTATCTTATATAGTCATTTTTTTAAAAGATTTAATATGAAAAGAAAATATTTGTTAAAAGTAAATAAGATAGATGATAATTTTTTTAAAATTTAATGAAGAAAATACTAATGACATTTGGTTTTATCCATTTTTAAAACAAAATAAAGATTTTCTTTTGTCATTATAATATTATATGAGATAATTTTTGAAATGATTTACTTGACAATTTTATTACGAAACATAGACCTTTCTAAAATGATCCAAAAGAGCAGTTCAGCAGTTTACTTTTAATCTACTATTAGTCTGCTAGTAATTTACAATTACTTTACTATTAATCTGCCAGTAGTCTTAATTCAATTATTTGACAAACTACTTTGCTAGTAGTCTGTATTCAGTCTGCAAGTAGTTTGCATTCAGTCTGCCATTAGTCTACAAGTAACAGTACTTAGAAAGATAGCGCTGTTATTTATTAAAATTGTAAAAATGAGTCTTTTTCACAATTTTTCCTTAGTAGGGTACCTATTTCATATCTTTATATCTATAAAACACAAGTCAATTGACAATTGTGGATTTAACACATGTCTTTTTATTTTTTAAAAATCAAAATATATTAAATAATGGTTATTTTTTCTGTGGAAAATGTATATTTTTAGTTTTGTGAAACCAAATTAACAAGGGTTCATCTTTTCAACAATTGTGGATTTGACACATGTCTTTTTATTTTTTAAAAGATCAAAATATATTTAACAATGGTTATTTTTTATGTGGAAAATGTATATTTTAATCTTGTGAAACCAAATTAACGAGGGTTCCTCTTTTCGACAAAGTTCGAAATCTCTTCCAGTTAATCTGGTTTAAACCTTTTTTTTGCTTTCAATTTCACAGATCTAGCCTTTCTTTTATCTTGTATGCACTCAATTTTCAGATTCTATGGCTTCCAAAAGTTCCTGTACTGCTCAAAAAGAGTTATGGAAAGCTTTTCAAAGTCTGAAGATTGGCTCTAATAAGACTAAATAGGATGTCCACGAAAATGCTCAAGATCAATTTGAGAAAGATCATCGCTTATGTCTAGCAGTCCAAGGCCTTAATCTGTAGCATCAAAATCCAACTAGTATGAAGATAACTCTACTGAAGGCCTGGAATTTGGCAGGAAAGGTTGAAGGACAAGTTAATGATGATGGAACTGACAATTTCTACTTCAGATCAGAGCACCACCTTCTGACAATTCTTGAGAACGCCCCTTATACTTTTAATAGCTGGATGGTAGCTTTTGATCGATGGAATCAGCGAGAACTGCCACAGTTTCTCAAAGCTATCCCCTTTTGGATTCAGATTGAAAATCTACCCAATATTTTCAGAAGGGAGCAAATTGTTAGAAGTATTGGTTCCAAGCTTGGTCATGTGGAAGATGTAGAGATTTCTGAACCAATTGTTCTTCGTCCTGCAGAGGTTTGGGTGAAGGTCCGCTTCAATGTTGATGATGAATTTACCTTGGTGCGGATGGTTCAAATCACACGCACATGAAAGCGAGTTGAGTTGGAGTTTCACTATGACGTTTTGCAAAAGTTTTGTACCAATTGTGGAAGCCTGAAGCATAGCTTTGATGTTTGTCCCCATCCTCCTAATATAGAAACTCAAAGCTTTCAGCTGATGCAAATTGACCCAGTGACTACTCATATGGATACATCAGTCATAGCGCTTCCATCTCCGTCGGATCAAGTTCAGGGGCAGTCCATAGATGCGAGTATCCTTACTCCTGTAAGTTTGTCCCAACTCTTCCCTCAACCCCGATTTTGAAGATTGCTTCATCTGATCAAGGGGAGTCCTCTCGTGGAATGGAGCATGGTTCTAAGCGGAAACTGCAGGACACAGAAGATGTCCAACATTCGCTCACAGTCAAACGTCAATCCTGAGTCTCAATTGATGCAAAAGGGTTGGTGGTTCCCCTAAAACTACCAGAGGATCAATGAAGCTCTTGCATTGGAATTGCCAGGGTCTATGGAGCAACCTGACAATTCCCAATCTCAAGGATATGAGGATGTCTTCTAAACTTGATATCATGCTCCTTGTAGAAACTAAAAATAATGATAGTATAATATAATATAGTAATTATGCCCATTGTACTATAGTATCTCCTCATGGGCTTAGTGGTGGCATGGAAATTTTTTGGGATGATAGTGTAGCAATCAAGTTTTTGTCCAAACCTGCTCTTAACAGCACATATATGTATATAACGGAAGGTGTAAACACTTTTTTGGTGTACATATATATATATATATATATATGGAAATCCAGTTCACAAGTATCGAAAGGCTATGTGGTTTTCTATGATGTATCAAGCCAATGCAGGATTTTATCAAGATAAACAATGCTTGGTGTTTGACGATTTCAGTGATATTACTTCAAATGATGATAAGAAAGGCGGTCCTCCCAGGTCAGAAAGTTCCTTTTCTCTCTTCCGTAATATGCTGTCTATATGTGGATTACATGATTTAAAAACAGTTGGTGGTATATATACTTGGACTGGGACTCGACACTCGCACACTGTTAAGTTTAAAATTGACCGTGCAGTTGCAAATTGTCATTGGCTTGACATGTTTCCCACTGCTATGTCCAGATTCTTCCTTGGAATGGCTCTGATCATCGACCTTTGCTCATTCATACAGAGCTTTACCGCAAATGTGGCTAATAGGTGGCAGTGCAACTCGGAGGTACGTGAATTAGTTGCCAATAATTGGAATGCTCATTGTTTTACGATCCCACCTATTATCTTTAGTAAAGCTTTAGCGAAGTGTCGTGTTGCCTTATCCCGTTGAAAAAGTACCACCATACAAAATTCACAAAAAACGATCATGGAATTACGGGACCAACTTCATACTGCTTATGAGGCTTCTCAGTTAGACTATAATCTCATCCATTCCTTGAAGTCTCAACTGCAGTTTCAATACAAGATGGAAGAGGAGTACTGAAAATTGAAAAGCAGAATTCTATGCCTGCCGAGTTGGAAACCGAAACACTAAGTATTTTCATGCCAAAACAAAACAAAGACGAGCTTTCAACAGGATATTACACATGCCCAATGAAACAGATCATTACTTTTCTAAACGTGACGAAGTACAACAGGAAATTCAATAATACTTCACAAATCTATATACTTCCAATGGTTTTGATACGGCTCAGGAGATCCTTGAAAACATCCCTACAACAGTCACTCCTGACATCAATTGCGCTCTTACTCGTCCGGTTAGTGAAGAAGATGTACGAAAAGCAGTTTTCTGTATCAATCCTGAAAAATCTCTAGGACCTGACGGTATGACAGCTGGCTTTTTCCGACACCACTGGCCTGCTATAAAACAAGGCGTGTACTCATTTGTTCAGCTTTTATTCGAATGGAGTTACTTAGATCCAGAAATTAATCATACTCACGTCTGTTTAGTTCCCAAAATTCCAACACCTACTATGGTTAAAGATTACATGCCTATTAGTCTTACTAATGTGGCTTAAAAATTATCTCAAAGATCTTAGCTGAGAGGTTGAAAATTTGGCTGCATTCTATTATTTTGGATAATCAATCAGCCTTCATTCCTGGTAGACTTATAACTGACAATGTGTTGATTGCTCATGAGCTTCTGTATTCTTTGCATACTAAGAAATTGTCTAAGGATTATATGGCCTTAAAGCTTGATATTACCAAAGCTTTTGACTGTGTTGAATGGCCATTTCTCAATATCGTTATAAAACTGATGGGCTTTAATGATCAGTGGAGAGCTTGGATTATGCAATATATCACCACTGCTTCTTACTCAGTTCTAATTAATGGAGCTCCCTTGTAAAAAATTACTCCCACGTGAGGCATACGTCAGGGTTGCCCTATATCCCCTTATCTTTACTTAATCTGTACTGAGGGTTTATCTCGACTTATTAAAAGTCGTATCCAAAGAAAACAAATTCACGGCTATAGAGCGTCTAGAAGTGGGTCAATGATTTCACATCTTTTGTTTACAGATGATTCCCTCCTTTTCTGCAGAGCCTCAGACATTGAGTGTGCTAACCTATTGGATGTATTATCAATTTATCAAAGAGGCTCAGGTCAGGAAATTAATTATAATAAACCTGCAGTTACCTTCAGTAAAGATAAGGCTCATGATGTTCAGCAAATGATTATCAGAAAACAGGTATTAACAAAATCGGAGGTCTAAGACGCTACCTCGACTTACCAGAACATATTGGTAGGAGACGCAAGGATGTATTCCATTACATTATGCAAAGAGTGCAGAACAAGGTCGATAGCTGGTACAACATATATCTTTCTCAAGCAGGTAAAGAAGTTTTGCTTAAAGCTGTCGAACTGCTCTTCCTACATATACAATGTCCTGTTTTATGCTACCTAAAAGTATCATTCAAGATATTACTAGTACAATGCGTAGCTTCTGGTGGTCTGGAGTTAAATGACAGCACAAGATCCCTTGGGTGGCGTGGGATAAGATAACTGTCTCAAAAGCAGATGGAGGTCTCGGAATTCGTGATTTACATGACTTTAATTTAGCCCTATTAGCGAAACAGGCTTGTGATAGCTGGATTTTACTAGCTAAGGAAATCCTAACACACTCATGTCATTGCAGCATGCAAGGTATCAATCGATCTGAGTTCTTAAGTCACCAAGAATACAGCAAATCACTTAAGTCAAACCAAATTCAAGAAAGCAGTTGTGAACAAACTAAACAAGTTTAAAGACTGAACTAAACAAAGCAGGATATTCAAATAGATAAAGTAAAGATCTAAGATGGGGGTTATTGATTAGGAGGGGATAAGAACCTAACTATTGATGCTTCAAAACCATTCAAACAATGTTATCTTCTAGGCATAGGATTAACAACTATAACTAGCTCAATTCCTTGACACTAATCACTTTGCTAAGCACACATTTCAGATAAATCCCTTTACTCAAACACATGATCATCAAGCATTCAAAACAGAATTCCAATCCTATAAAGCCAAAATGCACCTTAGACATCTAATTCCTTAGGCTAAGCATACAAATCCTCTAAGAGACTCTAAGCAACATTTCATCAAACACTTACCAGGCGCAAGAGAAAGCCAAAATACTAAACAAGCCTGGACAAGACTAATATAGTGATAAGCACATCTAATAGAGAGAAGACAATCATTTTAAGCCCAAGACAACACTAATCTAATCCTAAAAACCCTCTAATCTATCCCATCTCAAACCCTAAATAAGACTACTCACTAGCCATAGTCAAAACCACAAATTCTAAAGAGAAATGATGGTTAAGCATGATTAGGAAGCATAATAAACAAGAATAGACCAAAGGCAAATACAGAAATTCACTAAATCAAACTAGTTCTTACAAAGTAAAGCTGAAAAAGGAAAGGTTTAAGTGCAAGAACAAAAGAAATTAATAAGATCCAAGTTGCCTAACCATTTTAGGACTTTAGTATTAATAGGGGAACTAGGAAACCCCTAGTAAACCAAGATTAAGCAAAAAATAAGCTGACTCGGACAGACATATCGACTGTGAACATCGATATACATGTCGATACAGAAAGCTCCTATGTTGTATTGGTTTGGCTCTCCATGGTGTGAAGCCGATACAATCGCCCTTTAATTAAGGCTCATCGGTCAAGCAAGTCGATATGGCACCTCGGTATTGTCCTGTCATGTGTATCGATCTGGGACATCGATACACTGCTCGATATGGACTCCCTTCTGTTGCATCAAGGTGTCTCTTAGTCGATATGCTTCCTTCTCACCACGCATTTACTGTATCGATGCTGAAGTGGTTGATACTCCCATAGATATGCTCTTGTATTGATCAGATGATGTCGATATCATCATCGATATTGGCCCATCCGTCTTTGTCCCTTGCCTTGCTTCATTCCCAGCTCACACCCATTGCACCACATGACCTCCACACTCCTTCTAGTACGTGAATAAAACTCCAAATGCATGCAAAATGCAATGCAGCTCCTAAAATTACACTAACTCCTAAATGTATGCAAATGAGACAAGAAGAAGCAAAATATGCATGTTTAAAGACTAAAACTAGTGATGAATACAAGCTAAAATGGTATAAATATAGGAGATATCAGCTTGGCGAATACTTCATTGCCCCACTCATTGATGGCTAGAGTGTTCAAGGCTAAATACTTCCATCATTCATCTTTTTTGGAAGCTACAAGCTACACAACATCTAGCTATGCTTGGAAAAATATTATTCAGAGTCAACCTCTGTTAAAATTTGGAAGTTGCTGGCTCGTCGGCAAAGGAGATCAGATACATGTTTGGAAAGATAACTGGTTACCCACAGAGCCTCCTCGTCCACCATCTCCCATGCAAGAAATTATTACTCATAATCTGTATGTTGCCGATCTCATTAATCCACATACTTGTGAATGGGACTATGACAAATTGTCAACCTTTATAGCTTCTGATGATATTCAAAGGATTATGCAATTGTGTCCAAGTGTATCCTCTGCAAGTGATGTACTCTCATGGGCCTATACAAATAACGAGACATATTCGGTCAAGTCGGGCTATTATATACAATGGCGCCTAACATCTGAGAGTATGTTACAAGGAGGCCAGAGTAGCAAAATCACTGATGAAGCTAAACAGGTTTGTCAATTTATATGGAAGACTAAAGTTCCTCCTAAAATCAGACTCTTCTGGTGGCGCGTTGTTCATAATAGCTTGCCTGTTTCTGATAATCTCTGAAAGAGAAAGTTAAACATAGATACTAGCTGCCCTTTATGTGGTGATTATGCAGAAACACTAAATCATTTACTATTTCAGTGTCGCATCACCAAAGAGATATGGGAGTTAGACACCTCTATAACACTGCATTCTGATTTATTTATTCAGAATGCTTTGCTACAAAACTTACAATTTTGGTTGACTCAATTGAAATCTCACCAAGCCGAAACTCTTGTGTTCTTCTTAGGCTGGCGTATATGGAAGATGCGTAACAAGCTGTTCTTTCAACATAAGCGAGATCATATCACACATACCATTCAGATGGTCTTTCTAGATAAACAGCAATGGGAGGATTCACTTTGTTTGGAGTTGCAAGCTTCAGGTACTCCAGCTGATATTCCGTCACATGCAACTCCTATAATTACTGATGTTATTGAAGACAGCTCTGTCTACTATTGTCTTGTTGATGCGTCTTGGGTATCATCTTCACATAGAGCAGGCATTGGATGGTCCTTATACAGCAAATAAAGCATTCAATTACTTTAAGGAAGTGCATCTATACCCCAAACGCAAACAGCTCTTCAGGTAGAAGGAGTAGCTTTGCTAATGACTATTCAACTACTTCATGTTTTGGGATATACTCGTATAACTTTTGCAGGTGATTGCAATATGTTATATGAAATCCTAGATTCTCACAATGGAGGACAGCAACGCAATGATTCACTAATATCTCCGGTCTCCATTGCAATCTCAGTACAAGATATTCACTAATATCTCCGGTCTTTATTGCAATCTCAGTACAAGATATCCTTGCTATCTCATCCACATCCTCCTTTTACTTCAAATATGTTCCTAGAAGTTTACTTTACTTCAGGAAGCTAGACAACACTGTAAGGAATATTGTATTAAGTGGATATTGTAACTTGTAAGACTTGTACTATTAATAAAAGTAACAACTTTGTCGACAAAAAAAAAGTGATACCAAATTAACGATCTCACTTTTGCTTTTTGCATCCACGATCTTTGAACTTCCCAATTTAACCATTCACCACCATCTTCATCTCATCATTATATTTCGGAAATCTTTAACTACTGTTAGTTACTTTCTCAAATAAGTAAGTTATTCTTTTTTTTTTTATAACATCGAAGGTAAATTTTTCATTGTCAATTTCTGGGTTTTTATCTATTTCATTACAACAGCGTTTGTAAATCAGTAATTTGGAACTATTTTCTCTCAATTTTATTTCAGGTACTAATTGTGGGACTATCGCAGTCTTTCTTTGAGTTCTCTAATCGGTTTCAGAATCTTCACATCGCCTGAAATCGTCGGCTTGTGTGGTGTTTTTTCATCGGAGAAGGTGATAAACGTGATTCGAGCGAAAGCTCCGGAGGGTATAGCTTTCAATCCAGCAGAGGAAGGTCTGTGTGTTGGTGTCTCTGAGGTCAGGTAACTAAATTTCGTTTTACTACATGTGAATATGGTTTACCCAGATGTGTGTTACCTCTTTGTACCAGAATTGGAGCATGTGTGTGGAAGACCATTAAGATTGCGTTTCGATAAGAAAACCGGAGATCTCTACATTGCGGATGCCATTCTTATTGTTGGTCATGGTGGTGGTTTAGCCAAACCCCTGGTCACAGAAGCGGAGGGTCAAAGGTTTGTTTCACTAATGAATTGAACATTGATGAGCAGGAAGATGCGATTACCTTAGAAATACTTTCTTATCATGTGATTCCAGAGAAGGTAACATGAATAGAAACATCTAAAATCTCATCTTTCTTTTCATGCGATTTTCATTAAATAACAAAGCAATTGACTTTCTTACTCTGATGCATAAAATCTCAAATTTCTCCTTTCTATTGGTGATGATGATTTAACTTCAAAGTGTTGTCATGTTCAGGCAATTTTGGCTGTTGTTTTGAACTTTGATAAGACTGGAGGGTTAATCAAGTATGATAGATCAAGCAAAAAGGTGACGGAGTTTCATTTTAAAATGGTGTTTCACTAAGAAAATATCGGTCTTTAGTACTGATAGCCAAAACATCCACTTGCAAGATTCTAAGGCTTTGGTTCTTTGGTCCAAACATAGGAACTCAAGACATGTTTACTCAACTTCCGAGTGAATTTGAGTGAATCAAGAGAGGTTTTGGAGGTGCTTGAGGATAAAGAAGGAAAGAGATTGAGGTTTAAAAGTGAAGTGGAGGAGAAAGATGGTAAGCTTTGGATTGGTTCTGTTCTCATGCCGATTCTTGCCTTCTTGGTGTTTGTTGTTTTCTGCATTGTTAAGACTTTACTGTCTTTGCATTGTTACAATGTTGAATGTCACAATTAATGTATGTCTATTGTGTACATTAAATCGTTAACTCTCTTATTTTACGTCCTTTTTGTATTCAAAATTAGTGTTGGAAGTGTTTCGTGTTTACTATCTACTCTAATAAAGTAAGGTTTTTTTTAGAACCAACTCTGATATGCTGTCACGTGGCATTCCTGAAAGTGACATGTGTCCCTTTAAAAGAAAATATTATTTCCATTGAATTTTCTTTCATAAAAAAAACACAAAAAACAATGCTTGTATATCATAACAAACATAAACGAAAATCACTCAAACAAATCTTTAATATAGTTAGGCTATGTGTCACTTTTTAATACAAAAATATCTATTCTAATAAAGTAAGAATTTTTTTTCAGAAGCAGTTATGATATGCTGTCACATGACATCTAAGAATGTGACGTTTATCACTTAAAAATAAAAGAAAATATATTGAATTCTTTTTCATCAAACAAACACAAAAACAAAATTTCTGTTTTGTTTCCTTTCTCCTAACAATTATCTTTCACCCATCAAACAGAAACGAACACAAAACAGTGCTTCAAATTTTTTTATTCTCCTGAACACAATTCTCTTTCATTATGTCTCTTACTTCACATTATTTTAAAATGTTTTTTTATCTTTCAAGAGCTGACTGTGTTATTATTTTTGTGAAAAATAGATTTATTTCTTTTTATTTTCTTTGTGGCCAATCGAAAATAAAATTATGCATTGTTTGCTTTCATAGATCAAACCTCATTCTCTTTTATAAAATATAGTAAGTTTTGTTTTTTTTTTTCTAGACAACTCTAATATGCTGTGACATCTCATCTTAGAAACTGACATGTATCACTTTTTCCTCCTTTTTTATTATCTATGTTGAATTCTCTTTATTAAACAAACACAGAAACAAAGCTTCAATTTTTTTTTGTCTCTGACAAACGATTATTTTTCATCCAACAAAAGAAGCGAAAATAAAATCACTCAAACAAATCTTAGATAATATAATAAGATCATGTGTCACTTTTTTATGTTTTTCTTTTCTTCTCAACACTATTTTCTTTCATTATGTCTCTTACTTCACATTATTTAAGAAAATGTTTTTTAACTTTTAAGAGCTGACTGTGAAAAAATCATGCATTATTTGCTATTGTGAAAAAATCAATTTTTTTCTTTTCTACAAATGATTGATTTTTATCTAACAAACAGAAACAAAAGTTAAATCACTCATCAAATTTTATATAATATAGTAAGATCATGTGTCGCTTTTTCTCTTTTTTTTTCTTCTTCTTAACACTATTCTCTTTCATTATGTCTCTTACTTTACATTATTTAATTTTTTTTTAAAAAACTTTTAAGAGCTGACTGTGATATTGTTTCATCACAAAAATAAACAGATTCACTTCTTTATGTTTCTTTTGTGGCCAGTCAAATAGAATATCATGCATTATTTGCTTTTATGAAAAAAATTTAGATTAATGCCTCATTTCTTTCTTCCCTACTGCATCGAACCTCAAACCGCCACCACTCACCACTATCACAATCTGAATTTTACTCTCTAGGACATTTTTTTCCAATCATCTTTGCATGCTTCCTCGGAACAATGGCAGTTTTACTTCTCTAACAAGGCCAAACCTTATTCTCTATAGATATTATTATTTCACCAACCCTTTAATACAAAATATTATAAAATATAGAACTGTTTTTTTTATCATAAACATATATTATATGCTGTCATGTGTCATCTTAGAAATTGACATGTATCACTTTTTTTTTCTTTTTTCTACTAGATTCTCTTTCATCAAACTAACACAAAACAAAAGCTTTTGATTTTGTTTTCCTTCACAAAATGATTCATTTTATCAAATAAAAATAAACAAAAATCAAACCAACTAACGAAGTACAAAGCTTATATAATATAGTAACGTCAACTGTCATTTTTTTTTCCTATATCTCATTTATTATCTTTCGTCGAACATATACTATAACCGTTTCAGATTTTTTCCTTTCTCCACACTATTCTCTTACATTATTTAGGAAGTTTTTTTTTTTTACTTTTAAGAGCTCATTGTGACATTGTCTTATCATAGAAAACAGATTTACTTCTTTTAAATTTTCTTCGTGGCCAATCAAAACGAAAATCATGCATTATTTGCTTTCATATATTTTTTTAGATTAATAGTTCACTCCTTTTTTTTTCTTACCCCATCGAACTTCAAACCGTCATCACTCTCACAATCTAGATTCTACTCTCTATGACCTTCTTTCTGATCATCTCCGCGTGCTTCTTCGTAACAGTAGCATGTTTACTTCTCTAACAAGATTAAACCTCATTCTCTGTAGATATTATTATTTCACCTACTTTTTAAAATAAAATATTATAAATTATAGTAAGTTTTTGTTCATATAAATCTCGTATATGCTGTCACGTCACATCTTAGAAATTGACATGTGTCATTTTTAGAAATTGACCTAACACAAAAACAAAAGCTTAGTTTTTTTTTCTTCTCCAAACGATTCTCTTTCATCCAACAAATATATACGAAAATCAAACCACCCAACGAAGTACAAATCATATATAATATAATAACTTCAACAGTCGCACTTTCATCGAACATATACAAAACAACATTTTGGCTTTTTTCCTCATTCTCCAATAGATTCTTATCATTATGTCTCATATTTTACAATATTTTAATTTTTTTTTTTAACTTTTAAGAGCTGACTGTGTCATCGTTTTTGCCTGAAAAACAGACTCATTTCTTCATATTTTCTTTGTTGACAATCAAACATAAAAACATGCATTTTTGCTTTCATAATTTTTTTTTACATTAATGTCTCACTACTTCTTTATCTACTACATCAAACCTCAAACCGCCACCATTATCACAATATAAATTTTACTCTCGAATACCTTCTTTTCGGTCATCCCTGATAGCAGCTTCACTCCCCTAACGTGGTCAAATCTAACTTTATTATTTCATCACCGTTTAATACAAAATTTAAATAGTATGTACAACTTAGAAACTATTATAAACTGACAAATGTTTACTAACAAATATAATAAAATAGATTATAAAATTAATATAGTCAATATATAACAAATCCGTGCAACGCACGGAACTTGTAGCATCCGTATCCGAGAAAATATGGAATGATCAAGCCGATTAGGAGGTTGTCCGAAGGAACATGAGTTCAGTCTAGTAAAAAATCCATATGGATGGGAAGTTCAGACTATAGTCGGGAGTTGACTGGGAAATAGTCGAAGGATGGCTGGGTTGGCCGATGGACTAAGTCCGGGGACTATGTCCGAGAGAAAGTGGACTATGTCCGAGAAAGTGGACTATGTCTGAGAAAGTGGACTATGTAAGAGAGAAAAGGAAAATAGCCGAGTAAAAATGGGCTGAGGACGTGGGCCGTGAGTTGGGTCAGATAAAAACTAGTTACTCGCGTGGATGGTCGAGCGGTTTAGACGATATCTGAAAGAAATCAAAGCTGACCGGGAAAAACCTGACTGGAACCGAGAGACGCCAGCTATAACCGGGTTACCTAGGTTTTGCGAGCATATCAAAGGAATTTTGAGACTTTTCTCGAGAGAGCCACATTATTTAGGAGAAATAACTCGTGAGAGAGAGATTAGTTGAGAGAAATCCCATATATCCGATTATCCCGAGAGTTAGCCGAGAGAGATTGAAGGTTCGTCGATGATTCCGACTATCACTGAGAGATCGAGTGTTCTGTCCGAGTTTCTGTTAATCTGATCCGACCATCCGTTCTGATTTGGGGTTTTTCTGAGGGAATAACCGAGTTTATCCGTGGAGTTCTGAGCGGATGGTGAGATATCCGAGAGCACTTCGATTCGTCCGAGAGAATCTGGTAAGTGTTAGGATATTCTGATTAGTGCCAAGTTTCTGTCGGGTAACGTGGGACTAATAGTTCTGTTTTATACTGTTTTTGAGGGAGTACAGATTCTTGCCTAAGGAAAAGTGACCGGGTTGAGAGATAGCCGAGAGGTGTAGGGATTTTCCGGACCATAATGAGCGATAGCCGAGAAATCGCAAGTGTGTCCGACTATCTCTGTTTCTGATCGAGTAATCACCGAGTTACATCCGACTGAAGCGTTTGTCTCTGTGTTTAAGGTGAGTACGTGACTGTGGTCTGTATCTAGAATCGTTTGATTGCTAGGTTATCTGATTTTCATTGACTGCTTGTGTAAGTTAGTGGCATCTGCTAAGAAGGGTTAATGCTATGTGATTGTGAATAAGTAAGTGTGAACCGTCGTCAATACATGGTGTCTAACTAGCTGTGTGAATGTCCAGATCAAGTTACTAGCTCAAGGGGATGTGTAATTCTCGCTTGGAGTAGAACCGATGCTTTGTGAGGCTTCACAAATAGTTGAGATGATCATAGGACCGTACTGTTTTCTGTGCTTGCTTGCTAAGTGATAATGCGAATAGTGTAACTGATAGTATGATGTGTTTTCTGGTATTGGCTAAGGTGTTACGGGATGACCGTATTCACTAAGTATTTATCAAATACTTATGCCTCTCTTTTTAAGTGTCCAGGTAATGTGTACAGGATAAGTAGTCCTGAAGGCGGACTGGAATGCAATAAAGAGAAGGGGTGGATTAGGACTGGGATTCGGGATTCTTGTTCTGAGTTTTCTGTTGAAGTGCTTTGGTGTTACTGCTTTATGAGTTAAACTGAATCTGATAAGTTTAGTTTTCTGTTATTGAGTCTGAATTCTGTTAAGTGTTTCTGGAATAATTATGCAATGAAAATGAATGTCTTTTGATGAATCGAACTTGTTTAAATTTTAAAAAAGTTTTTAAAATATGCGTATTTTTGTATCCTGGCTGAGAGAAGACTCGGTGAAGTTCGGGCCGGTCTAGTGATAGACGGTC